TGACATGGAGATGACAGAAATCTTTGCAGAAATAACAAAGGGCAGAAGGAGACTTAAGATCCTGTAAAAGTTCCCAGACATCCGGTGGAAGCATGATTTGTCATATTACAACACCCCAGACTGGCGTTGGTTGTGCCGGGTGTGAAGGAGTTAAGTTTGGTTGCTATGCAGTGCACAGAGCTGTATTATGCAAGCTGTGAAGAGCAGACACACAGAGAGAGGAAGTGCATTACAGAATGCTGAGCTCAGGGCTTTGGCTCGCCGCCAAGCCTACACTCCTGCATGTGCACACTCACACTCTCAGCTGAGGGCATACCGATTTTTCCAGCAGCCTCCTCCTCCTCCCTCCTCTCGAGTCACTCTCTCTTTCTGTTACGTCAGTGGTTCAGCTGCGGGCCAGGCATGACTGGGGCAGGGCGGCGTAACGGAGAGCACCGATCATTCGCCTCTGTGTGCATAAAAGACGGGATGTGGACTGGTGGTTGTGAGATGTGCGGTCCGGTGTATCTGCTCAGGTGCAAAAGCAGCAGTGAGAACTGAAACACTGTTTTCTCTGTTTCTATACAAGTTTCACTCTCAGTTATTATCTTGTTCCACCTCCTTTGTTTTTGCTCGGGTCTGTATCACACAGCTTCACCACATCTGCAGACAGACACCTACTTTGTTTACAGCCTTCCTCCACCCAGCAGGGCGATATGTGTCAGCTATGTGTTGTGTGTCACATGCATGAGAACATTTGAGAAAAGTTGGAATGAAACCTCCCAGCTAAAGTTCCAGTGTGAGTAGCACACATATGTGTGTTTTATTATTGTACATTAGGCTGTTTGTGAGACTTATATAATGTGAAAGTATCAGGTACCCAGCTAAATAAATAAGTTAATGAATTAACACAATCTAGACCTGATCATCTTCAAAAATCAAGTTAGTCAGGTTCATTTGTATTATCTATAATGCAGGGTCTTAATCTTAATTGTTAAATTAGTCTGGTCAATCTGTATTTTCTGTAATGTTATTTGGTCTTATCCTTAATATTTGAACTTGTTAGCTAAATTCCAATTGTGTTTGTCTGTTGGACAGCACTCTAGCTCAGCACTTATTGTGCTATACAAACAGTAACTTTCCTTCGTGAAGGAAGCATTCGCTGCAGGACTGTTGTACTTGGCTGCTTTTGTTTTTGCTAAGTGTACTATTTATATTCTATGGCTTATTCGATTTTGACACTGCCACAGCAGAAGTTTCAAACTAAAGTTGTGTACTTTGTTGACAGCTGCTATCATAAATAATGAGCTACAGCATAAAAATATAATGGATAGAAACACTGTAGATGGTGCTGATAGCTGATTGTAGATGGTCATTTGTGCTGCTGTCCATACAGTACTAATGTATTATTTCTTTTCATCTGAGTCTCCGTTTCACGGTGTTAACTCTGGCTTCGTAGAATCTGGTGAGTCACAAATTTTGGTGCACCACCTGCAATGTCGTGAGATGTAGGAGGTGTTTTGGAAAACTTTGTTGCATTGATTTGAAAGTCGACAGATTGGTATGACATGCATGCTGTAAGATGTGGGGACAAAAGCTGGACTCATAAGCATTAAGACACACCCTGTGTCAGTTCAGTACATACTAGTTTTGCTGCTACAGTGCTGCTAATGCCAGGCTTAGACTACTGGAGTTTTAACCCTGTCCATTGAACCCTGTGTCACCCCACCCAGCAATCAGAGGAGAAATCTGATCTGGGATCTTAGTCTGAACTAATATTGGACTCAAAGTATTAGGTAATGTGAAGTGTTTACAGATCCTGTCTGAAACCTCCCAAACTGATTGCAGACTCATCAGGTCCACCCTGATTAATATTGAACGTGGTTGACATTTAGTAGTTAAATGCACAGCGATCCCACGCTGTTGTTAAGTTAAATGTTCCAGCCCTTTAGACTCATGTGAAGTACAGATATTGAAACTGACCATTAAAATCTAACTGCTCAAAACAAACATGTTGACCACATCTTTCAAAACATTTTCTCATCCAGACTCATTCCTGCTTTTGTTTGTTTTTTCACTGAAAAGTATTATTAGCAGTACGAGTTGTTAGCTAAAGTTAGCAAGCATTAGCTTTTGTTCTGTTTTCCACTTGTGCTACACTTGAAGGAATAGTTCAACATTTTGGGAAAATGTGCATGGCTATAGGCAGCAGTTGATCAGATTAGCTTAGCATAGAGATTAGATTAGCTTAGCATAGAGAATGAGTGGTCTAATGCTCTACAACGGTTCACACCGAAATCGTCATGAGAAACACATTCTGATTACTTTTCATGGCACAAAAAACAGATCGATAAACCTAATAACCAAGTGCTAGTGTTGCAAATTTTAGACTATTTTCTTAACCAGTAGTCGGCAATGTTATTAATCAGTAATGTTTTTAACATTAACGCAAATGAAATACTGTGGGTATTATTCTATATACTACTACTGAGCTGACTTGGGACACTACATACATTAGCGCTCTGGCTGGAAGTCATAAGCTACCACGGATTTCCTTGTCATGGTGGCGCATTGCTAGCAAACCCCAACAAGTGCAGAGTCACGTGACAAGTTGAATTTTTGACCATTTCTCAGTTCGGCCCTCTTTTTCTGGTCACCTTTCAGCTGGTACCGGGCCAATAAGTGGTCCGACCCATAACACAGTGTTGATGTTGGAGATGCTGTAGGGCAGATGTTTCCTCCTGTTTCCAATCTTTATGCTAAACTAATCTGACCGGTTGCTTCCTGTAGCTTTATATTTAGCATACAAACAACTTTAACATCAACTTGTAATGGTCACAGCAGCGGTTATACACAGCCTTGCTTTATTTTCTGAACAGCTCTCATCTCATTTCTAAAGAGATATGATGTAAATCTGTTTCTGTCTGCTCTCAAACGATTATTTAAACTCCCCCACAGACAGGATTTGACAGAAGGTCGCCTCTTTGACGCATTTTCCATTTTCTTTGGCTCAGACGACCATCTAATAATGCTGTCTGTCATCTGTCACTGTTTGGCATCGTGGCTTATCAGCCTCTCAGTTGGCCACGCTACATGTTTTTCAGTTTGCATGACAGCATGATGCAAGAAGTACATCATGCTCCTTAGATTCTGGACTGAATAAGCAACTGTGTCTCTTTGTTGGACAAGAACTGAGCTGTATATGTCAAAATAAATCAGTATGTGCTCCTTGTAGTCAAACTGTAACAGTACAGACATTCATACAGCTAATTGTAGATGATAAACTCTTACTGTTTGTATCTGCTGAGCTCTGACTAAGCTTCTGAAACCATCTGTTATCACTGTTAACCCACTAACCCGGTCAGATTGTCTGCTTCTTCCAATTACAGAAGAATTTTGCTCATGAAGTACTTGTTGTATCGGCATTTTTTGCCAAAACATGCCCATCTGCTGTGTCTCTCTAAACTCGACACAATATTTAAACCTCACTCCCACATGCGGCCACTGTGTTTTCAAATCTGTATTTGTCATGGGTTTTTTTGTTATGTTAAGGGAAATGACAGTCTGGTCATGTGTGGTGTACCCTCCTCTTCAAATTACAAAGTATTTCCATCAAGGTTTATTTTCCCACCAGAAACCCAAATAACCTAAAGCTTGAAGTAAGTTTAAGGTCATATGCACATTAAAATCAGCTTGTCTGTGTTTGTTCCAAATGTAGCCATAGGTTTTTGCTTTTAGAGGCCTGTAGGTTCACAGTATAAGGGCAGGCCTCTGTGCTGCTGGTGAAATGATCCTGTCACAGGGAGGAGGTGTTAAGGGTAAGGTAAGCACTGGAGGTGTTGTGGAAGGGAAATGAAGAGGAAATGAGAATATTAAGTCTTAGCACTAGTCTGTCTGCCCTTTCACTCTTTTGTTTCTTTCTATTACTGTTTTTCACCGGGCAACACTTTACTGAGTGAAATTAGGGTTCAATCCCAGAGTGAGGACAAATTCAGGCAGAAAAAGATGCAAAGGGAAAAAATACAGCAACAGCAGTGGTTTGTAGTGTTTAATCCTGTTGAATTATCACCTGAAACTGCAGTTCCACTTTCACCATAAAAATCTTTCACTTTCGTGCATAAAATTAGCTATTGTAAGTTTGTGCAGAGTGTCAATAGTTAAGGCCCCAGTGCATATCCTTGTGGTACCCTCATATTTATCATGTCTTGTTTGGAGACATGAGGAATGCTGATGTAGTTTGAGGATTGGTTCCGTGCTGAACAGTAAGTTTAGCTTCTTTCCTGGCTCAGCAGTGGAACATTTAGCAGCTAAAGAGCCAGATATTTCCCAACAGTGTCGGTAGAGAAAACTAGAGAAAACTTAACAAGAGTAAATATTCAACACAAATTCGTTGAATGAAAATGTTGCTATGTAACTTTTCAAAGTTTTAATTGTCAACTGTTTGCTATCAAGACTAACATTTTAAGTCTTGATATGTTAGCGACTGTTTGCAATGTGTTTTAGGTGGCCACAAAAGTAATTATTGTGGTTTTATTCCCTTTTACAGCATGTGGATGCTGTCATCTACAATTTGTTTCATGTGAAACAAGTTGTTTAGTTACCAGAACTACAGACAATAGTCTACAGATGCAGCTCTTAAAATAATACAAATCATATCAGCTACAAGTGTGCAAAAGGAAAAGTTTCTAAGCATTTCAGTTGTTTTGTAATGAATGAACGAATGAATATAAGAGTAATTTAACCTCATCATCTATTCTTTACAACAGAGTGTCGTGTGTGCATTAAAGGCCGTTTAAAGACATTTGAAATGGTTAAGTGTTTATAATTTTACAGAATAAATATTTATTACAGAAATATCAGTTTTTAACCAATTTACGTGAGGAGTTATATGAATAGAGGGGGAAACAGTTGCTGCAAAATGGTGTTAATTTGAGTTTTTTCTATGTAAACGCATGTAAATGGTCTTTATTGTCAAAATTATCAGATGGTTGACAGGATTTATTTTCTCTGTTTCTGTGCAGGTTTTCATCTCAGCGGCACAGTAAGGGAACCCGCTACATCTTCCGAGCCGGAGCTTCTCTGCAACGTGAGCGTCAGCTTTGATCGCTGCAAAATCACCGCAGTAACATGCAGCTGCGGCAACAAGGACATTTTTTACTGCGCCCATGTCGTGGCACTCTCGCTGTACAGAGTACGGAAGCCCGAACAGGTCAAACTGCGCCTGCCCATCTCAGAGACACTTTTCCAAATGAACAGAGATCAGCTGCAGAAGTTCGTTCAGTACCTGATCACGGTGCATCACACTGAGGTGCTGCCGACGGCGCAAAAGCTAGCGGATGAAATACTGTCACAGAACTCCGAGATCAACCAGGTTCATGGTGAGTAGAAGCGCTGCAATAACAGCTGATATCTGTGATTTTAGCGGAGAAACAGGTTGAGCCCATATTCTGCTTTTGGTGATCCTCCCACGGAAAACTCTGCTCCTTACCTGCCTAACATACCTTGCTTGAAATCGAGTCTTTTCCTCCCTTACCTATCTGCGTCAAACATTTGCACAACTCCTACCTAGCAGCAATTTAGGCCCTCAAAGACTAAACTGCTTCCTTGCAATCAGCCATTAGTTCCTCACGAGAGTCATTTCTGCTAGTGCTACTTCTCTATACTCAGAGATCTGGAGTTACAAACCAACGTTACCTGGCTTTGGTCGGGTCAGCTAACCAATCAGAGAAATCTGGACTTTTCAAGAGGACGGTCCTTAAAGACACAGGAGCTAAAGCGGAGCATTTTAGATAGAGGCTGAGAAGAGGCGATAAGATAAGATCGTCCTTTATTGATCCCACTGCAGGGAAATTTGCAGAGTTACAGATGCAATGGGGATAGCACTAAAATGTAGAGAACATCAGGAAAAACTAAAAATAAACACAAAGTGTACTGTTAATATTGTATAGACTGCTCTACATGGAGAAATTCTAATTATTACGTAGATTCCTGTGAATGTGGAAAACAATGTTATTGCCTACAGTTTTTTTAATACGTATAAAAACATTAATAATGCATAGATTTTATTTATGGTCATTTTAATTTCCTTTTGGACATTAAACATCTAAAATATTCTACTAGAGTTCTAAACATCTAAAAGTGCAGAATCTGGACTCTTTAAAATGCAACACACATACAAGGACATGCAGGTACCTCTCTCGGTCTCGCACCAGTGGACGTCCAGCTGGAGGCTGACGTCCTCGGAGACGACTTAGGAAAAACAAGCTGTTTAGGGGGAAACATTTTGCTTACACACACATACAGACACACTTGTGTTCGTCCCTCCATATGTGTGAGGCCTCTCTTTGACAGGAAAGAATCTGTAACCCCTGACCGTAACCTAAACTTAAATCCAGGTTTTAACCTTTGATGAGCCCTTTTCAGTTGTACAGAAATGTCCTCTCTGCAGCACTTCACAAGTAGCATTGGCCCTCACAGAGAGAGCAGTACACACACACACACACACACACACACACGTGTATTGTCTTTACAGTTATGATGTGTGTGACCACAAAGTACACACATGAGCTCTACTATTTACTGCCACAATGTGCAGTATTTTATATCCTGAACACTAAAAATCACTCAAGTTTTGTATTGTATATATAAGAAGCTCTTTTTACATATGAATATACAGCACATCATTTATTTGCAAGTAGTGTTTGCAACAGAATTATCGTAGTACAATGTGGTAAAAAGTGTTTTGTGCTGTATATTATCACATAATAATAATAATAATAATAATAATAATGTACTGATTTGTATAGTTTAACTTCTTTCTCGCAGCAGCTGTTTTGGCCTGTTTAGAACAAGTTTTAATTTCCATTTACATTAGTTAAAGCTTAAAACTTCTCATGTAAAAGGAAATAATTTAAACAGAAGAAAACAATATATATTTGTATACTCAGTAATATAGGATAGTGAATACATAATCTTTGAAGTAAATTAATTTTGTTCAAGTTTTGCAGTGAACCTACTAAAATATTAAAACCTTGCATGCCCTACTTTCTTCATTTCTTATCCACAACTGTACAAAATTACTGGTTTATATGTAAGAGTACAAATATGATATGATAATTATCACGTGATGCACTTTGTTGTAAACAAAAAACGAACAGTTCTTTGTTTACAAGCTTCTAATTGCACATAATTGTAACTTATAAGTTAGTAAATTTTTTTTAAAGCTTGCACTATTACAATACAGACTTGAGTTTTGGTAATTGAGCATCTTTTTTCACATGTAAACAGGTTGTAGGCGCAGAGAAAGGTTAATATAATTATAATATTTATTCTTTCAGTTTAGTGGTGCTCTGAGATGACTTATTGTTGTACTCAGTGACAGATTACAGTACCTTAGGGCTACAGCGAACTATTATTTACTTTACCAATTAGTCTATTGTTTTTTGTGTTAAGACTTGAGGAAGACTTTGGTTAAGAAAAATGAGCACAATGTAGATTTGAATTGTTGAACCTGCCATCTGAAACTCACAGGGTATTTTAAGATTATAAAGAAAAGCATTAAATTCTCATATTTGAGAACCTGTAACATGATGTTGGCATTTCTTCATGAAGTATGAAACAATTAGTCAATTATTGAAACACTGTTGACTCATTTTCTGTAATTGTCGAGTTGTCGAGCTCTGACGTATGCGCTCGTTATTTTTGTGGTTAGTTAACCAGGGCTGCAGTTAACCAAGGAAAACCCTGGTTGGCTGAAATTATACCTCCTCTTCAACCTACTCCACATGAACTAAATGTTCCACAGTGCATTGAGTGCACTCTACCTGCAGCCTTATTGGTCTAAATGAATTCTAAATCAACATTAAAAGCTAGTATTATGAAGCTCAATAAATCATATGAACCAGGTTATTTTACACTGAAGGGCAAGAACAGACTCAGAGCAGACCAGTGTGTATATACCCATATTCTTATGATTTCTGAAAATAAAACAGTATTAACTGATAATGCCACCATAAGAATGATTGAGAACCTTATTACAGAACTGCTGTTTCCACTGGACTTAATGGACATCCGTTTTTTTTTTTTTTTACAAATTGCAACCAGACCACAAATGTCTTCAGCTTAGTATCAGGTAGTTTGGAGCCAACTCCAAATAAATGTTTATGAAACATTAAAACTAAACCTGGTTGCCCCCATTAGGTTGGGCTAGTACAAAGTTTTGAATACACAGCAGTGTTTACAGGTAGTCCGGTCCTCCTGCCACAAACATAATGCATTCATTGTGGAAAGCTGCTGATGTAGCACTTTACACCTTATTAAAGTAACACCAGTAAATGTCTAATCAATGAGAATTTAGTTGGACAAGCTCATATTGACCAACCAACCGACAAGTAGACGTGGAGAATACAGTCGTGCATGCAACCAAAGATACCTTTTTAATGCAGTCTGTGGTCTTTTGTGTGTATGTCCTGCCACATTGCATAGTTATTTTCCTTTGTGGCACTGTCTGCTTTTAGGGTGCACTTCCAGTTGGATGTGTCTTATAGTACATTGCTATTCCAGTTTGTTTACACGCACAGCGCTTTCTTGACCTTAATCTAATTTTGTACAGTAGTTCAGTTAATGTACATGGTAGTCTTACTTGTTTGTAGATTTGCTTTGCAGCCTCTTGGTGGTTGTAACACTCTGGATTAGTCTCTCTTAGTGCTTTTGTGCACACTGTGTAAAATGGAAGACACTATTCTGCTTGAATCATACGAATTTAAACATCCCTGGAGACCTATGTAAAGTGCTAAAAATGTAGGATGTTTTCTCCGCTCATGGAGGCTGGTTATTGTTGCAGACTATTGATCAGTGTTTAAGTATGACCAGCACTACATTACTGCATTAATGCAAAGGGCTGTATATGCTGACACAGGCATATTCGTCCTGTGCTCCTCCCTGAAAAGGCACTTATTTATATTGAAACTGATGTTGTTTTAACACTATTTAAAGAATCGGTGTGGAAAGTAGCTGAACACATTTATACTTTTATTATTTCTTTTAACAAATACCTCACTTTACGATATTTCAGAGGCAAATATTGTTGTTTTTCCTACATTTATTATTATTTTTGCTTTTTAGAGCAATAGATTAGTAGTATAAAATGTAATCCACAAATACATTGTAATTAATCATTATTGCTCAAGATCAGTCAAGACTAAATTGATTCCAGTTATTAGTAATGAAGTTAGAATTAGCCCTTACTTGCAACACTAAATAAATATCATGTAGGTATGTAATGTAATTTATGTTACTTTGAAATGGGCCATTCTACATAATGAACTTTTACTTTTGGCACAATAAGTATATTTTGATGCAAATATTAAGCTATTTTTACTTAAGAAATATGACTTTTACTTGACTATATATATTTCTGGTGTTGCATCTGACTACTTGCACCACCACAGAATTTAGTAAAAACAAGTAAATGAAGACCAAATTAGTTTGACTTGTAACTGTCATGAAGACTTGCTGACTGATTTCTATTTTTCGGTGCAGGAGCTCCAGATCCGACAGCGGGGGCGAGTGTGGACGACGAGAACTGTTGGCATCTGGACGAGGAGCAAGTCCAGGAACAGGTCAAGCTCTTTCTCTCCCAGGGCGGGTACCATGGCTCGGGAAAGCAGCTCAACTTACTGTTCAGCAAGGTACCGACCCTCAAATCTCATCGTATGCAGCACTGTGATGACTTTGTCATGACTCTGATAATCTCTGATAATACCAAAGTGATTTGCATTGGGATAAATAATAAGGTTTGAACCACAAGGATCTGTGCTGGGCCCTTTACTATTTACACTCACACAGACTCTTACAGTCATAATAACAGTTTCTATGCAGATGACACAGCATTCTATGTGTGTGTGACTCCTTGTCAACCAAATAGTGACAAGACAAAATGTGTTTTCACGTCATGGTACTGACATGGTTCTATCCAAGCAGTATTGAGTGGTGTATTGTGATGCAAGATTCATGGGTTACTGAGATGTATTGAAGCTAAAGCTGAAAGAGTTTTCATTGTCATGAAGGCAGAGCTCTTTTACCCTGATAGATTACTACTGATGCTGCACGGCTAACGTTTTCCAAAGGAGGCTGCCTTACACCATCAGTTGTTTAAATCAGCTGCAAGAAGCGTCTCCTTTTTTACAATTTCTTTTTCTTCTCTGCTTAGTAAAAAAAAACATTTTATCAGCAAACCTGTTTAGCTGCATGCTAGCAGTATAACAAACATTTAAGCGAGCAGTTGCAGTATCACACACTTCATGCATTCAGAAGGTGATGCAGAAAGTGCATTAACATGTTTTTGTGTTTGGTGCTGATTAACAGCCAAGTTTGTTTAATATTGCGAGTATAGCAACTAATAAAACAGATTAGAAAACTGAATAGTCTATTGGTGTTTCTTACAGAAATTTTCACTTAGAAACATTTATTTGGCTTTCACAAACTGAAGTGATTTCCACATAGCCTTAATTCTGAAATGTTTTTCTAAATATCTAGCTAATTGCCTTCTGATTTAGTAATTGACAGCTGATGGATTAATTGTTGCAGCTCTAGTATCTACATATGCTTCTGTTTTCTTCTTTGCCTCTGCAGACCTCAGACCTCTCTATCAAAATGTATCTTGATCTCACTTTAATTGTCATAATAAATAGATGCTATATATACATTTTTTTACCCACAACACCCCTCTCTCTGTGCAGGTGAGAGAGATGCTGAAGATGAGGGACTCCAACGGCGCTCGCATGTTAACGCTGATCACAGAGCAGTTCATGGGCGACCCCAGACTGGCACTGTGGAGGCAACAGGGGACCACCATGACTGACAAGTACAGGCAGCTGTGGGATGAGCTAGGTACAGTACTGACTGAAAAACACACAGAGACATACAAACAGTCATATACTGTGGCTGCTTCAGCTTAAGAAAGCAGCTACATTATACTTTCATTGAGATGCCTGAGTTTGATTTAAAATTAAGACAAATATGTCCTTTTGTTTAAATTATGCTAACTGAAGCTTTCGACAATGAGCATAGTATTTATAAAAGTGTACTTCATATGCTTAAATAGCATTAAAAATACTTGCGAAACTGGGATAGATATTATCAACCTGGTGGGCGAACACTTGAAGAGAAACATGTAGCAGGATCTTGTAGTTCTGTCAGGCTGAGTTTTGACTTTTGTGCATTTGCTTGTAAGATAAAACAGCATTAAGACAGTTTGAAGTTTCAATGAAAAGACAGAAGATGCACAAAACAGAGTCTTATTTAGGCATGAAATACAGGATTAACCCGTAATCCCCTTCCACTGCTAAGTATCTAATAATTACTCTTTAGCTTTAATTCGGACCTTGCTGCTTTGCTGTGATAAATTAAGCTTTGTTTCGAAAGTATTTTTTTTAACAGATTATTTTTAACCTCACTCATTGTGTTTCTTGTCGGTCCAGACTTAAATATCAGTTGGATGGATGGATAGAAATTTTTTTCCAAATGTAATGATTCCTGAAGGACAAAGCCTGCAGACGCTGATGGTCATGTGACTGATTTTCGTGACATTTGTGTTTCCTTGAGGATGAATCCAAAACTAAATTAATCGCCAAAAGATTTCCCCCAAGAACCCTTAACCCTATTGGGGACTTTTGAGGTCTTTTGGACCCAAAGCCATTTGGTTGAGGTGACAGGAATTGTTTTTTTTTTTTTTTAAGATATTTTTTTAAATATAAAAAGAGGGACATTTGTCAGGCATTTGGAACCAAAAAATACATCAACTGATCAGAAAATGTATTGAACAGAGTATAAAAGTCTATAATGAATACCAACAAATAATTTGTACATATTCTTTCTTGGGGTGCAATGGACCCCGAAAGACCTTCTACGTATGGCAACATGAAAGTCATGGAATGGGTTAAATCAGAGTTTATGATGTTCTATCAGACAGACTTTTCTTGTAGATTAGTCCTAGAAAACGAGAACCGCCCAAGTTTTCTTTTTGTATAAAGCTCAAAAAAAAGTTCAGGAGTGACGTGTTCAGGTTAATTTGTCTTTCTTCACATGGCAGTGTTGATGTTGAAATGATGCATCGTGCAGCCCTAACAGGGAACTAGAATGCACCCTGTGGCTGATTGTTGACCCCTGAAACTGATCATCTCTGTTGCAGAAAGTAGAAATGCATTTATTTTTTTTGATTGTGATTAAAATGGTTCAGGCATCACTTACAAACAAACTGAGATGCAACACGTAAACAACAACAGTCCTCTTCTCCTTCCTCCTGTTTTGTTTATCTTCACCTCTTTTGCGACTGTTCAAGATTCTTTCTCTGCATTTCGTCACTCTCGTCTGACTGCTTTTTTTCCTCCTCGCTGTTGTCCTTGGTGCAGCTCTAACAAAGAGACGGAGGATAAAGCCTCTCTCCTCTGTTCCCCTCCCCCCGTCCTCAGCCTCCCTCCTACATTCACGTCGTCCTCCCCTCCCTTCACCTCTCTTCCATGTCTTCTCTTTTTTTCCCTCATCTCACCTCCTTTCTTTTCTTCTCCTGTTTCATTTTGTCATCTGTCATCCTTTATTTATCCTCTAACGTTTTCATTGTTCCCCTCCTCCTTCACTCTGCCTACTTTATGTGTTTTCTTCCTCTAGTCTGTTTTCATGCTTTCAGCCAACAGTGCGGTTAATTTCACACGTCTTTATTACAATTACAAGAATTAAATTTTTTCTTGCAATTTTTTAAAGCAAATATCTCCAACTTTTCTTTGTTTTATGTCACTTTAAGTTAAAAATCTTTGGGTTTGGAGTCCTTATCAGACATAAAACATCACATAGCAACAGTGCATACTTTATGAGAACCAATGCTATTAGAATTTTATAATAACATCAGTAAAAATAGAACCATTTCTTATTTTCTATTTGCTAAATTGGCTTTTGTGTTGGTTTACACACATGTTTTTAGCCACCTCTTGAAAGCAGTTTCACATTACTGAAATAATACTGAGGAGGAAACCAGTAACTAGTGATGTCATTATCTCAAAAGTAGTATTTTAGTTCAAGTTTAGAACCAGTAACTATTCATTCAACTAGTTTTGGTTAGTTTTCATGCCTCCGCCCCAGCGACAACCAAAGATCAGGGGCATCTTCCCAAGTTTTTCACATGATATCTCAGAAACGCCTTGGGGGAATTTCTTAAAATTATGCGCAAACATTCACTTGGACTCATGGATTAGCGGATTAGATGTTAGCGGTCAAAGGTCACTGTGACCTCACAAAACATGTTTCAGGCCTCAAGGATGAATTCACTAATTACGACAAATATTCACGTAAATGTCTGACAGGGTAAAATGATGACATTTAATCCTCTGAACCCATAAAACCAACCGCTTGGTTTGAAACGCGTGTTATCTTTTTTTTTTTTTTTTTAAATCCCACAATGACAATATTTATCAAAGCCAGCCACTTGAGAAACATGAGAATTATTGGATTTTCCATTTTTCTGGCGGTTCTTGAACATACCATGTGAGACATTTTCCCTTGGGAAAAATAAGCAAATATAAGCTTGAGATTGTGGTATGTCATTCACTGTATTCTGCTTCTGTCATTATAGAATTTGCTTAAAAATAAACCATTCACAAAAAAACCCGGGAAAATCTCTGCTCCCTGTATGCCTGGGAAGCAATGACTGACTCAGCTGTGACCAACAATTACATGACAAAATTCTGTGATTTTCACCTGACCTGCAGGCTGTGCTTACACAGGGCAGATACGAAAGAACAATAAAACATACTGGATCAATAAAATAATTGCAGCATGACTCAATAACAGTATATAGAGGAACAAGTTGTCGGTATGGTGTTGGAACATACATGAAGCATGGGAAAATATATTTCTAAAGCTGATGTCCAAAGTAGTGTGAAAAACAAGTAGAGATTGTAAAAATATGACTTGTAAAATATCTATAGCATGTGGAGAAACCGTTTTGTGCCACATCCAATGGGCACTGCAAAAATGATGATGTTCATATGTAAAAGTTCGAAGGACAAGTCTGGACAGACATGGATAGAAACCAGAGCTTGACTGGTTGAGTGAGGCAAATTACCATAAGGCTGTAACTGTAGATTAATAAGCAGCCGAAATTCGTTTTTACTCTTTTCTTTCCCCTGAATGCAGAGAAGAGTTACACAGCATATATCTGTCAAAGCAGCTAATTTGTTGCTTGATTAGTCATTTAGTATTTTTTAAGGCACAAACACAAACTGTTCTCTGGCTGCAGTTTCTCTAAAGTGAGAATTTGCTGCTTTTCTCAGTTTTCATCATTTTTAGCTGGATATCTGTGGGTTTTAGACTCCTAATCAAACAAACAAAACAGAAACCATGAACTTTTCATGGGAGGAAGAACTAGTTGCAGACATATGTTAAAGGTGTGCACAAGCAATGCCACTGTCTCTGATTTCATTAATAATAATAGTAATAATAGAACTATTGTCTTATTTATTTAAATGTGTCTTTTATTTGGGTTTCGATATGTATGTTTAAACACCTTTCCAAAACAACAAAAGTAGCTGTATGTTCGTGTCATTTTAAATAAAATAAAAACCAGTAACAAATCATTCACCTACTTTTAGTTACCTTCTTAATATGCAACAAAAATGGTGGCTGTTTTTTACTCTTTCTGTTCTTTTCGTGAAGAGAAAAACTCTGAAGAATTGTAGGTGCTCTACATTTGTATTTTTTTCTGCCTGCATCTTTTGAAGGACAGATCACTGATTGGTGGAACAGCAACGATTAGTAGGTGAATTATTTAGCAAACAGACAATGTTGATTTTTAAGAATTTAAATGTGAGACATTCATTAACTTTTGTAGACTTTTTTTTGGACAGGGCATGAAACAAGCTGACAGTTTACAGACAACAACAATTAACTAAGAAGATAATCAGCAGTTCAGTTGCCCTTCAGCCCTACTTTACATCTACTTTAAAGAGGTGATAATAAAGCTCAGTCACTGTGTTTTGAGGTTTGGTAAATGTATTTTTTTACGTCCTGTTTATAGCCGTAGGTCTCAGGATGAGAGTGTGAGTGTTATATTTGTGGACATCTGTGTGCAGGGGCTCTGTGGATGTGCATCGTGCTGAACCCCCACTGTAAACCCGAGCAGAAGGGCTTCTGGCTCCGGCAGCTTCGCAGGTGGAACGGCGTGGACGTCTGTCCCTTGGAGGACGGTAACCATGGCAGCGAGCTGACCAATCTGACCAACGCTCTGCCCCAGGGCCCTCCCGGCAACCCAGGTGAGACGACACCCAGCCGGAGCAGAATCGTGGTCTCTCTTTGTTTTATTTCTTCTCCTACATCGTGTCTTTTTTGTCCGTTCTCCTTTGCAGCGCCTCCTCCTCCTCCTCCTCCTCCTCTTCTGTTCTGCTTCTGTATTAACACTATTAAGTCGTCTTTCTGCACCCTCCCCCCTCTCTTTTAATCAAGTCTCCTTCCTTCAATCTCAGTGCCTGCGAGCCTTATTACCTTTTTAGTGTGGCTAATAGAATGAGCCTAATAACACCGCTGAGGTCCTGCAGCTTTTTCTAGCCTTAATTCGTCTCTCTGTTTCCACTAAATCAGAGAAAACACAGACACATGAACGTTTCTATCAGGCGGTAATAAAAATGTTTGGAATGAGAGGACAGGTGCTGTTATTACTGCTGATGCTTCGATCTGTAACAGCCCTGCATTTGGTTCTGTTAGAGGCATTTTTCAGTTCTGGTTAGTCAGTTTTCAAGTGAATATCAGTGTTTGCCGCTCCTTTGTCTCTCTACTTTTAAGAACTACTGCTCTGAAGTGCCATTGGAAGTACAATCATCACTGAAGTAATTTGATACTAAAGAAAACCTGAAAACATAATTATTCTAGGCAGATTCTACACTTAATGGTAGTGTCTTTTTCTTTAATTAGATTTTCTACGTTTTGGACATTTAATCACAACTGACACGGAGCCAGAACCGTCTCGTTGCGACGTGAGTTAAAACCCTCTGACGTCTTTCTTACAGATTCCCTGACTCGGCCTCACCGGACAGTTTTCACGCGAGCTATCGAGGCCTGCGACCTGCACTGGCAGGACCCCCACCTGCAGCACATCATCACCGAGGACCACTACACCAACTACTGTTACCACGACAACCTCGACAGCTCCCTGTTCGACGCCAGAGGGTGGCCCCTGTGGCACGGTGAGACAGCAGAGACTTGTGCTTTAGAGGGGAGGCAAGTGAAAGTAATAAGAGGATAAAAAAAGAACAGAGGGAGAAAATGAAATGTCTCTTCTTTTTTTCATCTCCTGTAGAGCATGTGCCCACCGCGTGTGCCCGGGTGGATGCCCTGAGATCACATGGTTACCCCAAGGAAGCACTTAGGCTGGCCATCGCCATCGTCAACACGCTACGGAGGCAACAGCAGAAACAGCTGGAGCTCTTCCGTGCTCACAAAAAAGGTCTGTCTTTAAGTATAGATTTTTACATTTAAAGACCAAAGGTGGTGTATTTCCCCTGTGATATAAGCTGTTCTGGTTCTAAACCAAGTGCTGGTGCCAGTTTGGAACCAGTTTTCCTGGACGAGAGTCGCTCTTCGCTGTTGAAACACGCAGAACTGGTTCCAAATTTGGCACCAATGTCTCACTGCGTTGGTGGAAAAGTGGTGTATGACTCTGGCTGGATGTTTAAAGTCGTCCTCCTGCTGAATGAAATTTTAGGTTTAAACGTTTACACAGCATTGTTCAAACATCCAAATGAAGTTACGATTAGAAAAACTTTAAAAAAAAAATTTTTTATTAAGCTAAACTACAAGTACAAGTCTGCTCATATTTTCAGCTGTCTCTGACACTTTCTACGTTACAGAGTGTAAACAATTCATTGACACTGTGTTTGTTACTGCAGAGCTGCTCCACAGAGGAATAACATCAGTCACCAACCTGGAGGGCTGGGTGGGCCACCCCCTGGACCCCATCGGCACTCTGTTCAGCACCCTCATGGAGATGGGGAGAGGCAGCGAAGACGGAGCTGTGCTCGACTTCTCAGGTACACACAGCAGTAGAACTACTTACATCACCTTTACGTGAGTGAAATTACCATAGCATTGATCTGAGTAAACATACGTATGACTGATCGCTGCTCACAGTGGAGCTGTTTTTACCTACTTTACTCACATTTGGGTCGTTCAGTTTAGGTAGCAGTTCCCAAACTATGGGTTGAGCCAGCAAAAGATTGTCTTCATTTTTTGAGGCTTTTTAAAAAGCTTTTTGTGAAATACTTAGGTACAGATGTACTTTTGGGACTTATACCTTAATGAAGCTGTGAGAAATTTAGATTTGAAGTTCGTTTTTGGTGCAAATGCTGACAAGAAGCTCCAACTACACTCATCAGTCACTCAGGCAGTGTTCAGTGTTTTTGCATTTTATAAGCTTGTCATACAACATAAAATCCTAATTTGAATAGTACCTAACAACTTTATCTGTCAAATAAACATAGTGGTATAAAAAGTAAAGTACAGTACAAGTATAAAAATGGAAATGCTTTGGTAATTATAAACGTAGATTGGTGCTTTCCTGCGCTGCAGATACAGTGCACACAAACACTGGTTTTCCTGAGTGTTCTTCCAACGTCAACGCTGCAGTGATTGTGTCTTTCCTGTCGGAACTGCAGGCCCTCAGGTCGCAATCAGCAGAGATGACACAGACGTGCTGATTGGCCTCCAGTCATCCTCCAATAACAGCTCATGAATAAGAAATGCAGCAGGAAAAACACTCCAATTAAAATGCATTAATTATGCAGGGAGCCCAGCTAGACGAATTTCAACATACTGTAGCCTGAAAAGACGCCGCAGCAGATCAGTTTCTCTTGAAAAGTGCAGTTAGTTCCGGACGTGTTCACTTTTATGTTTTTAGGTTTCATTTTCTTCCATCACTAGATAACCAATGAGACTTCTTTTTTTTTTCCTCTAAATTTGCAGAAAAAACATTTAAAGACATGTTTCTCTTTGTCATTATGCATTATTGATTGTGGAATAATGTGGAAATGCTAGCTTTATTCATTTAAAGGAAATGTACAGCACGGTAAAGATTGAAAACAGTAAAGTGGTCTGAAGGTGAATGAGGTGATGTTGGAACCACTATGTAGGAAAAGTTCTGAAAGTTTTCAATTAAGACTCTGCTATTAATAACTATGCCAGTGTGTGAGTGTGTGTTCACTGGGGACTGTGAACCCTCCTGGGATGAGCTGTGAGGTCTGCCAAGACATCATTAAACCATTAAAACACATGATTACCATCCTCAGGAGAGCACGCTGTGAAAAAGGAGCACCAGGATGAACAAATAGATCAATAGATTTATCAATACTTAGCTCAATCCACAGCCCAAAGGGAACATTTTCCTTGCCAAGTCATCCCTCACCCCCTCCTCCCCTCTCCCTCACCCCCAGGCTCGCTGGGTTCAGGCAGGAGGACGGAGCATCCTGTTCTTCCTGCGCAGCGTTTCTTGGAGGACGGCGAGTCGTTTGTGTCGCTGGCTGTAGAGACGGCTCTGATTGGTCTAGGTCAGCAGCGGGTGATGCCAGACGGACTCTACGCCCAGGAGAAGGTGTGTCGCAACGAAGAGCAGCTGCTGTCCAGGCTTCAAGAGGTCGACTTAGACGACACATTGGTGAAGATCTTCCGGAAGCAGGCCGTTTTCCTGCTAGAGGGTGAGTACGACTCAAAGGTAGAATTTTTACAATAGGGCTGAACAGTTGTTCAATTTCCAAATGAAATTACAGTTTGAAGCAAAGCAGTTTGTGTGTCATAAAGGCTGAAAATGAGAGAATATGTTATGCAGTATGTCTAACTCAGACAGTATTGAACTTAACCTTGACCTAAAGAAATATTACAAATTACAATATTGGTCAGAAAAATTTGCAATCAGGTCCTTTACTTCAGTTGTTAAGCCCTAATTCACAAGCATATGCTGACATTTAATTGAATGTCATCAGGTCAGACAAAATTTGGACCTTTTTCTTTTTTCTAGGTTTGCAAATACTGATTATTGGTATTAACATTAGATATGCTAATTTATATTCTTAAGTAGTTGATTTTGTCTTAAAATGTCATCCCATTTTTTAAGCTGTAATCTTGAAATGTTGCAGCTTGTTTGACCCACAACCCAGAACACAAGGAAATGCATTTTACCTTAATGTACTCGGACTGTATCGAATCAAAAACATTTTGGCGGTCTGAAATCATACCTACCTTACGACTAAATCAAAATCTGCATGTTATCTCTAGATGAACTAAATGTTCCACAGAGCACTGAGTGCACTCTACCTGAGGCCTTATTAGCCTGAATTAGATATAAATCAACATTTAAAAAAAACAGTAAAAGTAATAAATAAAAGTATTTTCAGAATGTTAAATCATTTGAACCAGTTTTTTTTTGTTTTTTTGTGTTTTTTTTCTGAAATAGACCTGGAACAGACCAGCATACACCTGCTCATATTCATATAATGTCTGATCAATGATCTCAGCACAAGAACTATTGAGGAATTTAACACAGACAAGCTAGCTGCTGTTTATTTGATGGTCTGCCATGTTGGTTGTTGAGCTGTGATATACAAACGGCTGTTTGCAAAGTTTACACTCCACTTTTTGGCGACGACTACTTTGACATGGTATCAAATAGTTTGGAGCCAACTGTAACTAAACGTTCAGTAAACGTTTAGTAAGTTAGACCTAACAGTCTCCATCAGGTTGGACCAGCCTGAAGTTGTGAAAAAGCGGGGGTGTTCACAGTTAGTCTGTTCCTCCTGCCATTGGAAATAATGGATGAATCTTGAAAGGCTGTTCATGTATTGCTTTTTTCCTTGTGAAACGAACACAGAAGATTGCACGATTAATGAGAATGTGGTCGCATCAGAACATATCAACCAACTAGGAAAAGAAACTAAAACAGTTAGAAACGCTGTTTACTATAAATCTTAGGAGGGAAAAATAAATCCGGGATGAGAAGAATAAAAAGACCCTCTTTAATTTTGTGCAATCTAAAGTATTATTATGTGGATTTTGCTATTTTGGGCAGAGCCAAGCTAGCAGTTTCCCCATTTCCAGTCTTTATGTGAAGCTAAGCTAACCTGCTTACCCGACACACGAGCATCAGATCAATCTACTCACCGAACAGGAATAGTTCCCAAAATGTTGCACTGCTCCTTTAGATGTTTCCAGGAACTGCACTATCTGCACACATGGACATTCCTGTTTCACACCCTGAACCACAAACACCTCTCTGTGCTTTATCAGTGTGTTGTGTTAGTGTGTGCGCTGTTGTGTTAACGCTGTGTACTTTAGTGCATGCTCTGCGCTGTACATTTACACTTTGTATGTTCCTGTGTTTACAGTTGTGTGCAAGCACTGTTTGCATTGTCGGTCTGTTTGCTGACGTTGTGTGTGCGCATGTGTGTGTGTATTGAGGACTATAATAAGCTTGTGGCTTGTCATGGTTCAAGGCTCTTTTCTCTGCAAACCCACTAATGACAGAGCTGCTCAGCCCCTCACATGCGGCTCCTGCTCACTCGGCTTGGTTGTGATTATAAAGCAGAGGCCCAAAGGAAGTCACGGCTCGTATATCATTATGGAAAAGAGTTAAAACAAATGTCATTTTTTTCTGGTCTTTTAAGCTATGTTAACCTATATGTCTGGTAAAATTCTGCTTTTGTTATTATCAACAAATCCCCCTTAAAAGACCAAAACACACTATTGTTGTGTCCACCCCTCTGATTTTTAGATCATGTAAATTTTTTTAGTCCTCTGTGCCACAGAGCGCCATTGTTTCCTTAAAAAAACACTCTTAAAAACACATCAGTTCGCCACACTGTTTGATTGGGTGACATGTTCCTTTATTACCTTGAACACATGTTGTAGTTTGTTTTTGATTTAATCCCACATACACTTTTCTGCTGCTCTAAACACTCACTAGAGGACCAAATGTGTATTCATCCTCAGCTAAAAATAGTCCCCAACAAATTCAGCATTTCCTTCTGTTTGAAAAATGCTTTCAGTGTCCGGCTGTTTTAGGAAATTAATTAAACTTTTTTTTTTTTTTTCCAAAGAATTATATTTTTAGTAGATATCAGCGGATATGAGTTGAGAGTCACAGATTAGGAGCTACAGGCTAACACAGTGTTCAAAGGATTTGCTGACAATCAGAAAAATACAGAACACCCAAGCTTGTTCTTCCTCTGACGCTTGGTTTTAGAACACATTTTTGCAATATGTAATGTCTTGCAACATTTGTAATGAAAAATGATGCCTTCTGTCACAGAAATTGCTAGAAATGATCACCAGAGCGCCAAATGTGGATTCATCCGCAGCTGAAAATCCCCAACAAATTCAGTTTGAGTTTTTTTTTTCATTGTAGTTGTTGACAAGTTTTCAGGCCACATTTTTAAAATGTGTCATGACGTGCAGCATTTGTAATAAAAAAAAAAAAAGCAACTATGCTTTATCCAAGAATAATGCTTATAAAGAAGCAGCACATATGTATTCATCGCTGCCGAAAGTGATTTCCAGCAAATGAAACATTTCCTCCTGTTTCAGTAGCTTTTGCTAAAAACTATAGTGATCAGCTATGTTAGGAAATCCTGAGCTTTTTAAAAAACAAATTAAACTATATATTTGTGACCCTTTTTCTGAGTAGCAGAAAGATTTAGCTACATTCAACTGATTAGATGTTTTAGTGTGATTGAAGAAGCTTGCTTGTGTTTGTTCCCACTGAATTCCAGAAACCTTGGTGTCGTTGTTTGTAAGGTTTCATTAATACGTGATGAAAAGCAACATTAAATAGAAATATTTTTTTCAGCCCTTACAGAGTGATACCAAGGACAATAAATCATCTTTCTTTGCATTTTATGTTGTATCAGTTTGTTCTTTGTCATGTTTTGTAATGAGATGCTTTAAATTGTTTTACTAAAAGTCAAAATTAATCTCAATTCAAAGGCTGGATAAAGAACTCAGAATGGAGGGGGGAAAAAAGCAGAGTAATGGCAATCTAGTCCTTCAAAAACTGACATTTTCAAATCAAATATATGTGTTTTCATCTGTTATTTTTATTTATTTATTTTTTTAGAGGAAAATGGTAATGAAACTAAAAGAAATTAATTTGTTTTTTTAATTTCTGTTCTGTGCCACAAAGAAAACCAGGCCGCACAGAGAAGTTAAGGATGGATTCATCCTGAAAGCTTTTCCTAGAAGCTGTCAGCCCTTCAGCTCATCTGTTATTCTTGTAATTTCCTTTTCTTACAAGTTGACATGTTGTTTCAGGATGTTCTCTGATGCTGTTTAAAGTCCCTGCTTGACTAACAGAGCGATCAGCCTCTAAAACACAGCTGACTCACACTGCTCAGCTCGCTCTGCCGGTTTAATCAGCGCTATCAGACTTGTTGACACATCAGGCTGGGAAACAATCTGGTACACAGGGTTACTGTCCGGTCACATGTGAAGTATCACAGTAGCCCTCCTCTGTGTTCAGGTTGACTGTATAAACTCATCACCACGTTGTCCTCTTTCTTCCAGCTGGTCCTTACAGTGGCCTGGGGGAAATCCTCTACAGAGAAAGTGTCCCCATGCACACTTTTGCCAAGTATCTCTTCGCCTCCCTGCTACCTCATGACGCCGAGCTGGCGTACAGAATTGCACTGAGGGCCATGAGGTGAGTCACCCGCCTTTTAGCAGCTAGACGTCTCGTCTGCCCACATAGAAATTAGACAGAATATATCTAAAGAAAGAAAAAACAAAAACATAGCCTGTGAATATTAAGAGTTGGTTCTTTGAGATTAACAGTGTCAGATTAACGTTAGTTTGCCTTTTTATAAATGTCAGCAGCTGTGTACATGTTTGGAGTGTCTCTCAGCTGTTTTGTTGCTACTTCTTCTCCATATAATGAGTTTAGTTCATTATCCTGTTTCTTCCAAGAACTGTAATTTTTTCAATTGCGTTACTGACAGACGGCGTGTGGTGCACTGAGCAATCCGAGTCTGCACAACACTTAAAGGCATCCTAACCAGGACATATGTCCACCTCACCCACCTGGTGGTATACAGACATAACCAATAAACACACTTAACAAACAGCAGAGCAGTCAGCAGGTATCATTGTTTCCTCTGTGGCATTGATTAATGTGACATCATTATCAATTAACCAATAAACCTTGATCAATCTGACAGATTCATCTTTTGTTTAAGGTCATGCCTCGTCCTGCCAGCAAATGTTTTATCCTCATTTTAAGAGATGTGCCCCAGCTGTACAAAAAGTAACATGTCCAATCATAACTTTACTGACTCTAAGGAGCTTCACAAACCCAAATGAAAATGGCTGTAGCTTCTGAACCACTCTGACTATAGTGACCTGATAAACGTGGCCCCACCACAAAAAAAATCACTAAGGTTTCTTGTGAAAGTGTCAAAAACCTGGATGTGAAACAGAAACGAAGCAGAGACATCAGTAAAAATTAAACATTTTTGTCCACTTAAAATGAAATCTGATTTGTCACTGTAAGTAATTTACAAAAAATGCCGTTTGTGATTTGGTCATTTTGGGAGTCAGAGTGCTGCAAGAACAGAATTACAGCAGTCATCGTGACTTTAAAATTTATGTTTAGGCTCTTGTGCAAAACACATAAGACATGAAAGAAATGCAATATTATTTTTGCAAAGGCAAGGACTGAACCATGTGATACCAAATATGTTTGTGTTTACTGACATGGTGCGTGTGCGTCCTCAGGCAGTTTATGGGGTTAACAGTCTTCATCAGTGAACTGTAGCATCTGTGGAATCATACACTGCAGCTGCTGATCAGTAAAAGCATCAGTTTGACCTGTTGTGCTGCTGTTTATAAGATGCTCCTTACACTCTGCAACAGTGAATCATTTTCTACTGCAGGAACTTTGGGGCTATTTTAGATCGACCCAAACCTTTGTGCCTATTTCTTGTACAAGAACCATCCCTGCAGGACCTTTTTCAGGGCTGATTTCAGGAGGAAAAAAGTAGGGGTCAACCAATTATCGGCCTGGACAATTTTCTGGGCTGATATTTGCCTTTTTTCCGATTATTGGTATCATCAATTTTAATAACCTGTAACAGATAAAAGACGGGAAGGCATGGCAGGTTTATTTGAATAGCACAATTCGTACCCAAGGTAATTCAAAGTGTTTCACACAAAACTATAAGAAGACAGATAAAATCAATCCACAAAACATAAATGTAATCATTAATTAGAAGAATACAGATAAAATACTTTCAGCTGTCATATGCACAACCAAATAGAACTGTTTTCAGCCTGGACTTGACCATTGTCAGAGCTGAAGCCTCTCTCACATCTTCTGAAATCCAATTCCAGACTTTAGTTGCATAAAACTGGAATGCAGCCTCACCGTGTTTGGTCCTAACTCTGGGCACCAGCAGGAGACCACTCCCTGAGGTTCTCAGAGCCCGAGATGCTTCATAAGGCACTAACATGTCAGAGATGTACTTTGGTGCTGGACCATGAAGAGACTTGTACACAAGCAAAGCTGTTTTAAAGTCAATTCTCTGAGCAACAGGAAGCCAGTGCAGAGACTCGAGCACTGGACTAATATGGTTGTACTTCCTGGTTCTAGTCAGGACTCGAGCAGCAGCATTCTGGATAAACTTCAGCCGTCTTACAGCTCGTTTAGAGAGGCCAGTGAGCAGGCCTTTACAGTCGTCTAACCTGCTGGAGACAAACGCATGGATTAGTCTCTCTGAGTCTGGCTTAGACACTATACCTTTGATTTTGGCAATGTTTTTAGATGATACAAAGTTGCTGATGTTATTGACTTTATGTGGCTGTTAAAGTTCAGGTTGTGCTCTGCTGAATTAGAGAAGCTGTGTTTGGAAGGTCAGGTAGCGGATGTTGCTGAAGTTGTAATAAGGACCTACAGGACTCTTAACGTTTGTCCCATCCTGCAAGCTCCTGCAGTAGAAAGCCACCCAGTGTGTCTGTAAGTAACTGAGTAGTTAACCGATGTTACCAGTTCTCAGGAGAAACAGATGTATGAACTAAACTCATCTACAAATTACAAAGAGAATTCAACAAGAAGAAGCAACTAAAGAGCTGAGATAAACATGCAGGCCACAGCCAACATTAGGGGGAATAAAGCAGAGAAAGCCCTATAAGGTGATGTGAATGTAACGTTACTTTTAGTCAGATATCTTTTATGTTGGTACCAGACAGAATGAGTCTGTTCCAGGATTAATGACGACATGCCATCTGACGAGTCCTTGTGGGTTTCGCTGAGGAGGTTCATGTACGGTTTTCGAAAATCCAGCATTTTAAGATGTATCCCAGTTTGTAGAAGCTCTCCTTCTGGAGGACAAAAAAATGACATTTTAGTTTGCATTCAGGGCTGAAACAGAAACAAAAAGGTGCATTTACACTGTAGGTACTCAGTGCTGAAAGGAGGAACAGACGCGAAGACAGCGAGGCAGGAAATTTAACAAACCTTCATCTGTAGCCCGCCTCCCTGCCTGCTGTACGTCTCCTCTGGTTAGTTAGAGATGGAGGAAACAGAGTCAGATTCAGGAGCTATCTGGGACACTGTTTAATGACAAAACCTCCTTTTGCTGGAATATTCACTGAATAATTCAACACTGCTGAGAACGACTTTTATAAAATGTGTGAATAATAAATACAGGCTGTTGGTTTTCTCTCTGACCACCGCAGGAAACTTTATTTCCTCTTGCACAAATTAAACCCCTCTGATTTTTAGATCATGTAAATCTTTATATCATTTTCCAGGCTGAAATTAGAACAGGGGATTATTAAAGTACAGCAGCTATAACTGGATATAATAGCACTGTGGCACTGTGGTTTGGTTGAAAACGAGTTATTATTTTTAAACCAATCCTTTTCTCTGTGTTCATGGCCTGCGGCAAAGATCCACCTGAGCTCAGGTGTGAAGACACAAAGGAAAAACTATTGATTGATCCTATAATAGGAACATTACACTCTGATAACTTCTTTACCTCCATTCGGTGTTCTTCTGAGCGGACACATCTCTTCTTGTGTCTGATAAAGTTTTTGTCTGCGCTCAGGTTGCCGGTGCTGGAGTCCACGGCCCCCTCCGGTGACTTGTCTCGGCCTCACCACATCGTGTCGGTGGTGCCCAACCGCTACCCTCGCTGGTTCACTCTGAGCCACATCGAGACACAACAGTGTGAACTTGCCTCTACCATGCTCACTGCTGCTAAAGGTACACACACACACACACATACACGGCTGTTTAACCTACATTTTAACTTCTGGATCAAATCTACACCATAGATTCCCCAGAAATGTAACTAAATATCCCAGCAAGGAAAACTGCAACAACTGTGACTGGTCTGCTTGGTAGTAATATGCCAAGGAAACACAGTATATTGATTTACACGAGGATAATGCTTCTGTAAAACAAAATGGAACATGTAATGGGCTGTAATTGTATCTGGTTTGCTCATGTTGTGAACACAAGAGTTACTATTCTATTAATGCAGCCGTATACTGTTTTCTCATTTTATTGCTCCGCCAGTCTGTGTTCAGACTCATTTTATTCTGACGTCTTCTCTCATGTCTGTGTTCCAGTAATTTCAATAAGAGTAACTGTTGTTGAACATTTAATAGCTCCAACCCGTACATGATCTGCATCATTTGAAGAAAAGTATCTCGGACAACTGTTTTGGTGTAATCACAGAGCAAGACAGACACACCAGTATTAATGCTCACAAGAGCTTAGGGCACTTCTGTGGACTACATCATAGGTTCAACGCAAGAGTGTAAATCAAGTTTTAGAAGGTTGGCAGGATTGTTTCAACAGGCAGCTCACATTGGGCTTCACAGTCAAATCTACCATGTTTAATACTGCACAGAGTAGAAAACCAGTAGAGTCAAGAAGTCCAACTATAAGTATAATAGCTTTTTTTAGCATGATAATTCTCTAAATTATTGCACCCTGGATAAGCAACAGAAATGGGATGGAGAGTTTGTCCAGTCTGAACTGGTGAGCTGCACGGATGCTGAATGGGGCCACATCCACACGGCTTGCCAACACAGTAGTGCCCGCCTCTTCAGGTCTATCTGCTAAGCGTAAAGTGTATATTTTCTAGGAAAATGGTATTGGTTATCGGCTGATATAAAAAAATTAATGCCTCAAATTAGACTGGATCGGATCAGTAGGAAGAAACCAAAAGGACTCCCTCGTCTAAACTGTCACTGCGTTCACTTCCTGATTCATCACACTCGTCATCACATGGCTTTTTTCTGAACAGACGTCAGCCAAGGTGGTTAATTCAACCTGGATAATGAATTTAGGCACCAACCTTGGTGTAGATGCTAGCAGCTGCTGTGCAGTTAAGGAAATCATTGATCTTAATTTTCATCAATGCTGTTCTTTCTCTAATATTGTCTACTACTAAACAACCAACACTTTGCTTTATGTTTACAGTAGCATCTACAGCCAGAACTGAACAAAGCTTTTGAATGTCATTAAGTAGGTCCAGCTGCTTTCCTTTTAGCACTTTGCTATAATGACTTGAATAGCTGAAAAACCTGTTGTGAGAAGATACAGAAAAGATTTTACTGCACGCTGGAAGCCAGAAATAACTCTGCCTCCCTGTATGTTACCAGGTGATGCTCGTAAGCTAGAAACAGTGTTAGAGTCCATCCAGAAGAACATCCACTCCTCCTCCCACATCTTCAAACTGGCCCAGGATGCCTTCAAAATCGCCACTCTCATGGACAGCCTGCCGGACATCACGCTGCTTAAGGTCTCCCTGGAGCTGGGTCTTCAGGTAAATGGGAACAAAAAAAAGAAAACCCAAATGCATACATCAGATGTGTTGCAGATGTTGCAGACTCGGCTAATCTCGTATTTCCTACAGGTGATGAGAATGACCCTGTCCACGTTGAACTGGCGGCGGAGGGAGATGGTGCGCTGGCTCGTCACCTGTGCTACTGAAGTTGGTGAGTGTGTTTTTACTACCAAATAAAATAAATTCATGCATACAGTGGCAGATTTACCTCTCAATGTTTTAAGTTATTTTAGAAGGGTCTTGAATACAAATGTGTTGGTGTCCTACACATGGGGTAGGAGTAATGGTAGCATGTCTGCTTTCGGCTATAACACAGATTTGTTAATAGTAGCATCAGCATGTGAAATGGTTGGATTTTGGTTAAATGTCTCAGTTGATAAAAGCATAAATGCACAACATTAGTTACATGACTGTCAACAGACAACTCTTACCTAGATAATTATAAACGTTAGTGCTCAGTGTTGTGGCCAGGAGGTGTAATTCGAATTTTTATTTTTTATTTTTTCAAATAATCTCCAAATTAATTCTTTCTGATCAGCTGCAGAAAAGTTTGGACATCTAATTCTTTATCTCATCAAGACAAAAGTCAAACTACACATCAGTGGTACAAGGCTTCATGAAAATCGACATGATGTCGCTGCATGATTTGACCTTGGAGTAGGATCCAGAATATCATTCACACACTAAGATATCTGACCACTGACTTTGGCACTCCTTGTTTTTTCAGTAACTTCTCCTTCTGATGGTCCTGCTTCATTTTGGTCTGTCATTGTTAAGAACTGTTTAATCCATTTTTTTGTAGATGCTGTTGTGTTTTTAATTAAATAGAATTAAAATAAATACAAAGATAGAAAATATTTGTTGTTCTACCTCCATGTCCATGCCGTGCCCAGCTACAGTTGAGGAAAGAAAATAGCAAACAGCTACCAGTAATTGTAAAGATGTTTGTGCCTGTGCATGCTTAGATATGTGAGAGACTTTGAGAAACAGCAGGCCAGACTTCAGAAGGCCCATAAAATAGGTTTCAGTGGGCTCTCTGTGAGGGGCTAGGAATGACTGGCAGGGCAGTAATTATGGGAGATTGGTGGCTGTTGGCTGATTAAGTGGGCCTTATGTTTGGTCCTGAATACTGAAGCCAGCGGCTGATTTCCCTGAAGTGGACGGGAAGTTGTGTCCAGAGGGAGGGAGCTCTGCAGAGGAAAACCCTCCTCCCAGATGACTTCTTGTGAATGTAGGGTAGTGACAAGGAGTCCCTGTTTCTGTTTGAATGGGTTCATTGAGAACATGCTGGTTGGTGATGCAGAGCAGGGCCACGTCGCACAATATCCGATTAGAATGTAAAACGCCATTGTACGACTGGTGATGTATTTTGATTAATGATGGTAGAGGACAGAGCTGGGTCAGAAAAGAATCTGATGCAGTAGCATGCTATTCAACTATTGGATCCACTGGTCAAATAGAGATTAATGTTAAAAATCAAGGACTTTAGTACGACTTCAGCAGTGGGAAATACATTTTTGATGTCTTGAGGGTTAAAGGTGTGCATTTTACATTTACCAGCAATAAAGGAAAGGAGAGGGAAGAGTTATAATGCATTTTTAAAATTGTGTAACTTAAAAGACACTTTATTTATCGTCAACTAAACCCTCAGTGTTTTTTGGACTTTCCTGCCCTCTGTCCATTTTGTTTCATATTGTATAAATTCTTTTTTTTTTTTTTTGTAAAACAATTATTAGCAAATGATAATTAAACAGAATGAAACTGTACATTTGTTGGGGACTATTTGAGCATTTCCGCATTTCTATTTGAGTGGGGGCTATTTGAGTATTTTAGTGTTCCTATAACCTAATCAGAGATGATGGGCACTAGATTTCCTAATGACTATTTTCCCTGTCAAATTAACAGAAATTTAAATCTAGCCTTGTCCAACTGCAAATAATAGAAACATCTAAGATGATAAAAGCAGAGGACCTTAGATCGAACCTTGAGGAACGCCACTTTTCACGCAGGCAGGAGAATTTACATCCAGTTAAAATTTGTCTAGTTTCCAACAAAGCAAAGATTCCTTCAATCCTGTATTACCTGTTACCCGAAGAGTAAAGTCCCACAAAGATGAGTCAAATTACTCTGGTGGCATATCAAACAGTAACAGTGGTTTTACTTTGTCATGAACACAATAATATGAAACAGACTCTCATTTCAGATCTCCATCTCAGATTTCCATTGACTTCTGTTCTTTTATAGTCTATGTTGTGCGCAATGAACAAAAGCTTGTTTTGATTTTCAGTGAACAGTGGTCGTAAAATGCTGTGAAAAAAATTAAACATACCGTATTATATGTAGCCCTGCAAGCCCTCCCTTGAAAGTTCCTGAACTGAGTACAACTCACTGCGGCAGTATTATTCCATTCAGACCAGGATTAGTCAGGTGGAAGTTTCTAGAAGGTTCTTTAGGTTGTGAAGCAGCTTTAGCATTGCAAGATTTGTTAAAAAGGAACAATTTGTCTTGCCAGTCTTCAGCCTATACGTTTGTGGCTGATAATAGTTGGTTTAACAAATCAGTGTCCTATAAGGAACTACTGGCAGCCACGGGTGTATTTCAAGTGTGAAGTAGATGGCGACAGACTCATCCAATCAACTGCCAAGTATTTTTTGACAGTGCCAGCTCTTCTCCAAACAGTTTTGGAGAACAACTTTGGTTCTGTTTGACAAACCATCTGGTGCATCAGGTTAGAAAGTTTGAACACAGCGAAGTAGTGCAAAATTATTTGAGTGACAATATGTAACTGGGATTTTTCTGACAGATACGGTGAATTACTGTTTTTCCAAGTTCAGCGTCAGAAATCGTGAATTAGACTTACTGTATGAGATACATGAGACTTGGCCCATGTCAGTCCAATCACAGTGTGAGCGCCTGAACTATGTAGATGTAATAAACATTGATCAAAAGTAATTCAAATTCAATCAAACTGAATGAAAGGATTTGTCTCATTATTTAAAAGCCACGCCTCTTATACCCTGAATTGCAGCTGTTGTAATTTGAAATCGGTTCGTTGTTCAGCCCTACTTTACACTAACATCTCTTCTCTCTGTGCAGGTGTGTTTGCACTGGACAGCATCATGCAGAGTTGGTTCACCCTCTTCACTCCGACCGAAGCGACCAGTGTCGTGGCGAGCACAGTGATGTCCAACAGCACCATCGTCCGCCTGCACCTGGACTGCCACCAGCAGGAGAACCTGGCCAACTCCGCCCGCACCCTGGCCCTGCAGTGTGCCATGAAGGACCCCCAAAACTGTGCCCTCTCAGCTCTGACGCTGTGTGAGAAGGACCACATTGCCTTCGAAACAGCCTATCAGATTGTCCTGGACGCGGCCGCCACAGGAATGAACTACACGCAGCTGTTTACAATAGCACGATACATGGAGCACCGCGGTTATCCGATGAGGGCATACAAGCTAGCAACGTTAGCCATGACTCACCTGAACCTCAGCTACAACCAAGACACGCACCCGGCCATCAATGACGTGCTCTGGGCGTGTGCGCTCAGCCACTCACTGGGGAAAAACGAACTGGCTGCCGTCATCCCCCTGGTGGTGAAGAGTGTCAAGTGTGCCACCGTCTTGTCAGACATTTTGCGACGGTGCACGCTGACGACGCCGGGCATGGTGGCGCTGCACAGTCGCAGGAACTCTGGAAAGCTGATGTCTCTGGACAAAGCTCCACTCAGGCAGCTACTGGACGCCACGATCGGGGCCTACATCAACACGACGCACTCAAGGCTGACACACATCAGCCCTCGCCACTACAGCGAGTTCATCGAGTTCCTCAGTAAAGCCAGAGAGACGTTCTTCATGGCGCACGACGGACACATCCAGTTCACACAGTTCATAGACAACCTGAAACAAATTTACAAGGGCAAGAAAAAGCTCATGATGCTCGTAAGAGAGAGATTTGGTTAAAAGACAATCGTGTGACCAAATCGCCATTTTTTTTTTTTTTTTACTTGAGTCTCCTTTTTTATCCTTTCTAACTTGAAGTGAAAATCCACCTAAAACAACATCCATGTGAATCTTATTCTTGTGATTTGGGACTGATGATGTGGAACACAGTTTCCTAAAGGCAAATAATTAAATGAAAAGACTGTGATGTGAAAGCATACCAAGCATGAGCACAGAGAGAGTCTAGTGTCGGACAGCCCAAACTAAAAGTGTGAAACATGTTTTAGAGCAAATTTTCTCCTAAAGTTGACAAGTTTGAAACTGAAAAAAAAGACTGTAAACGATAAAGGCGATGTCTGGGGCCAGATGTGTCACGCGTGTGGATCGAGACTAAAACAGAGTGCAGGTACATTTTTGGGGGGCAGATTTATGAAGCTGTTTACCATGCAGGGGCATTAAAAGAAAAGCCTGACTCACGTAGTTCATATCGATAATTCAAGAGAAGCTCCAACTGTAGCCACAGCCGCTAATGGCTAACAGCTAATGGAAATACTGTGGATGTGACTGTGACAAACTGAATACTTAAATTTTAGTACATGTGTTTGTTACTTTGGTTGAAACACTCCCACTGGGTTTGATGCTGAGCCTTCCATTAGACAAGACGGGCGTTCAGTAACAGCTTCACACCCGGATGTGAAGCTACAACCATGGTCTTGATCACAACAATAACCCACAGCTGTGTCTGCCAGTCATGACAGTTCGCGTCGGCTATTTATCGAGCTTTAGACAAATTACCTTCAACAATGATGTGTACCTTTCAGGCTGCTACTAATGATTATTTTTGATTGATCACAATCGTTTGGTCAATGAAACATTTTTAAAAATGTGTACAAACACAGAGTAACATCCCTAAATGTCTTATTTTGGCCACTGAAAGTCCAAAACCCAAAAATATTTAGGACACAGATAAGCAACAAATTCTCCCATTTGAGGCTTTAAACCAGCTAGTGTTCTGCATCTGTTTTCTGGTTCAATTGTTACAAGTTATTATTTGATTCTTAAAAATAGTTTCTTTTTCTATTGCTCAACCAATAAGTCACATGACTAATGATTGCAGCTGTACTTATATTTATGTTACTTTGGGCTAAAGTATATTGACAATATTATGACTAAGGCCATGTCTGCACTGACATAGATCATTTTGTGAAAATGAGAAAATTAAGTTTGTAAATACTTCATTAATAAACAAAAAATAAGCAGAACTTTAACTAGCTATTTTGACAATTGAGTCAATTTTTAGATGAGAAGATGCCAAAAATCTGTTTTCTGCTCCTTAAATGGGAAAATTAGTCAAAACAGTTCAGTGAAGTGAATATCTGTGTGGGTTTTCACTGTTTGCGCCGACAGAACGAATCCTTTTTTTTGCCAAAACTATAATAGTTTGTATTAGCCCTGAAAATATATTTTACTTTTTGATTGTGTGTGTCGCTTATATTTAATCTGCTTCCCATTTCAGTCACATCTGTGTGTATCTGTGTACACTCTGTGTGGCGAATACTCGTTTTTTGTGCGTACACATCACTTGATACATCTGGCCCTGGGTATTGATTTGTATAAAATGGTAAAGTTCGCAGGAGAGGACTGTCAGTTCGTGGATGTCTGTGTGTTTTTCCCTTTACATGTATGACAGCGAGAGAGTTGTACGCTGACTGTATCCTGTATTGTCCAGTGGCGAAATGTCTACCTTGCACTCCTCTTACTTCCCTCAGCTCACAGCCTCAAAGAGAAGTCAAATGGCTTTAAACCAAATGGAGCAACTCCATCTGAAGTGACGAGTACCTCTTTTTAAGGATCCAGCTTTACTCTTCCCCCCGCAGGCCTCCTCGCCCATCTGCTCGAGAAAAACTCCAAATCCGCCATCAGAATTCATATTACTGAGTTATTTTCTGCCATCTTCAGGCTGATTGTTTTGGCTTTGCAGTGTTGTCTCAAATGTTCAGTATGCTCATTTTAAACCGTCACAGCGCTCGCTCTTGTGGAAACTGTCAACATACATTCTCAGGGATTTCTCTAAAAAAAAGCCGATGAAAAAGAAGAAGAAAAAAAGAGAACAAAAGCATTTTATCGTCCTGTATATATGAAAGTATATGTCTGAATATGAAAAAATGTATATGTTAACTAATTTATGACAGAATATTCTATGTAAGGCACAATACTTGAAGCTGCAGTACTTTTGGTTTTTGAAACAAACATGAAAAAAAAAAAACATATCAGTAAGACTTCAAAAATGTTCGCCTTGCATTGCGTCAGGGGCCGGTCTGAACGCTAACACGCTGCAGACATGTGATGAACTGCAGAGACGGCCGGCTGTAAGACAGAAGTGGACACAAAACACAGAAGTGTATTGAGAGACGACTGTGGCGGCAGAGCGGCAGCGACGTACAGCTGCTGCAGAAACCTGCCTTCACATCAGCGTCTGCCGCGACTCACTCACAGGCCGAAGCTGGTTCACGTCCATGCCTCCTCTTCTCACATCTCGACTTTGTGCAGGACAGAAAGTTGCTCTAAACTGTAGGTCTCGACTGTTTTTTTTTAACGCTCTTTGTGTGTTTAATTTCTCTTCCTCTTAAACTGATTTCGTTTCTCTCTAGAATTCCTCACACGAGAACAGCCTTCTTTCTTGCCTTGTCTTAATGCTTTAAAATAACCAAATGGGAGTTCTAACTACCAAACTCTTTTCATACGCCAACTGACTTTGGTTGCAGCCTTTTAGTGTCTTTAATTTGTAGCTGACTGGCTCTGTGTTCTGTGCTTTAAAAGCTCATCTCATCTGTTCTTCAGTGTCGTCTCTTAGAGGTCTGTTAGTAGCTCCTTTGTTTAGAAACGAATGATGCTCCCTTTTATTTATTACTTTAGGTGAATGATTGTACAACCATGTCGACATGCTCATGAAGTTGAAACTAAGATTTGATACACTGATCGATTTATTTATGTAACTAAATCACTGTTTTATAAACTTGTTAATGAATCAACACTTTGTTTTGAGTAAATTAGTTTTTTGAGAGGAAGATGTCTACGTGTTCTTTATTATTTCAAGTTGTTGCTGTTGCTTTATCTGCTTCTCCACAATCCACATGTGACCCTTTACCCAACCACACTCTGAGATAAGAGCTATACAAATAACAGTATTAACAAACGTCCATAGAAAAGTGTTTACAATAAGAAAATCTCTCTTGGCAACAGACTGATTTTTAATAACATTTTTTATCAAATGAATTGTCTATTTGAGGGCAGAAGTTGACACTCAACATTTTCTGTGAAAAGTAAATCCAATGTACATAGATATCCTTAATGCAGACGAAACCTACTCAAATAATACTGAAAAAAATTACAAGCGATGCAAAATGACTGCAAACAGATGGAAAAATGATTAGAGTTACAAAACGATAGCAAAGAGATCGCATCAGCTGCAAAGAGACAAAGGGCTTCAGAATGTCCACAAGGAGACAAAATGTCCACAAAGCCATGCATATAATTTCAAAATAATGCCAGACAACAGAGAAGCAAAATGATGCAAAGTGACAGAAGACAACTGAAAAGGGATATAAAAAGACTACAGACGTGAAACAATTACAGACACATAATGGCTGCAAAGAGATTTAAAAGGACTGCAGTGTCCACAAAGATACACAAAACAGTGTAACCTGAGCACAAAGCCAAGCAGAATAACCATAAAATCATGCAAAACAATTGCAAAAAGATAGGTAGAAGACAACTGCGTAAAGTGATGTAGTGTCTCCAGAGAGATGCAAAAACACACATCGACATGTAAACGACCGAAAAGAGATGCAAACAAGCACAAATAGTTGTGAATGTAAAAGTAAAGTAACGACTGCATAGATGTGAGAATGACCTCTAACAAATGGAAAACAAGCAGACAAGAGACAAAGAATCTCAACGTCCACAGAGACATCAAACGATGCAACATGACCATAAAGCCATGTAGAATAGAATAGAACTGAATAGAATAGAATAGAATAGAATAGAATATCCTTTACTAGTCCCACAAGAGGACATTTGTAACATTACAGCAGCAAAGTGACAGTAAGAAAAGCAAGCAAACACAACTATAAATTACAGTATATACAATATAAATAAGAAAAACATGAGGATACTAAGAACCCAAAATTAGGAATATTTACATGAATGAACTGCATTGGGTTTATTGCACATGACAGTGTGGCAAAGAACTAAAGACACGCCACAGAGAGAAGCAAAATGGGTAGCAAGAGACAGAAAATGACTACAAAGAAATTTGAAACATTCTCAAAAATGCAAACTGATGTGAAACAACTGCGACCACAAAAACACAACTGCAAAAAGAGAACTACAGACATACACAACGACTGCAAAGAGAAGAAGAGTCTCAGAATGTCCACAAAGTCGTGCATAACAGACAGAAGAAGATGTCACACAGCTGCGCACAAAATGATCATAGAGATGCAAAATGACTTCAGAGTTGTGAAACAACAGCTATTCAACTGCGAAAAGATAACGTAATGACTTAAAATGACCAAAAAGTCCTACAAAAGCAGCTGTATGAGGATGCTACACAGCTACACATAGATGAAAAGATCACAGATCAGTGCTTGAAGTGATCAGTACACGGTACCAGCACTGGTTAGTGTCTTGTGCACCAAATGTTCTCACAAGCTGCTGCTACTGTTGCTCGTCCTCCTCATATCAGGTTCTTTGGAAGATTTATAAAGGCCATAAATAAACTGCATTACCCAGCAGGCATTCTGTTCCTGCCTTCCAGCTCCTCTTTGTCTTTCCCTTATCTAAAGTAAGGAGCTTGCAGTGCATCTCTTTGAAACGAACAACTTCTTTGATACTCGAATAATCAATTATTGAAACAAATAATCAACTATTCAGATTAGAATTTACACATTTACTAAAAGGCTTTTATTCAGCGGTCAGCTTTTATATTAAGTTTGAAGTTGTTTGAGGGATATGCTAGTTAACAATAAAGACAGTGAAGATGCTCCTTATGTACTTTTGTAATATGTGGTATGTGTGTTTTTTGGTGATTTACGTGAATCGTTGCAGCCGACATGTTGGACTGACATTAATCTGGTGGCTGACCTTAGATTATATGTTACTGCTGAGCTTCTTTCCAAACATGAAATCAGTTTCCAGTTAAGTCAACTGTAGCAGAGGAGGTAAGACCATAAAAAAATGCAATTATACAAAGATTCCAGACAACTATAAAGGGACCAAAAATGACCACAAATAGATGTAAAACTAGTGCGAACAACATGACTGTGTTTCCTAATAAACCAGTAAAGATGGAGGGGAAACAAAAGTAAATAGGTGTATGGTTATTTTAGATATGGTGAAGCCAAATATTGGTGCTGTATTAATAAAATAAAATAAATTCCTTAGACTAAAATTATCTATATTTTCTTTCTTACATTTTTTACATTTGTAAGATTTACAATATTGGTATTGGCCACAACAAACAGAAAATGATCAGTTATCATCAGCCTCACAATTCCATATCCGTGCATTTTTATTAAACGCAGTATAAGTCATACCGAGGACACAGTGCTGAGCTGAGTGGCATCGGTCTAAAAGAAGACCTGATAATAATCACAGCAATAATGTGCATGTGAACCCTTTCAGTCAAAGAGAAATCTTCACAGCTTTTGATCCAGATCGATTAGGTTTTTAAAAACAAGTGCTGGCGAGCACAAGTCAGCAAGAGAAGAAACCAGACAGCCATGTGTGAGAAGATGACTGCAGGAGTTTTTATTTATTTATGTGTGAAGACAAACAGAGGATGATGGATTATTTGGATCTCAGTTTGTTCTTATCGTTGAGCTGAAGCTCCCTCTGACACATCGCTCTCCTAATCTGCTCATTTCATCAGCTGATTAAACAACGAAAGTTTCTCAACAAACTTCAGATTATTCTGGTCTTGTGTGGTCTCTGGCTGGAGCTCAAGTTCGCCACCTTGATGTCAGAAAAGTATTTTTTTTGTTTATTCAGTTACTCTCAATACTTTTACTGTTTCATTTCATATAAATCTTTATTTAAAGGTTTGTTGGGTATCTGTTGACAGATGAAAACCATGGATTTATATTTAGACAAATACATAAACATGTATCCTAAATTACAAATTAATGCTTTTGAGGATGAAGTCATATTTTTTCAGACATGTACAACTACATTTTAAAAAAGCATCTCCTATCGTCCACAAACACAAAAAAATGACCTAATGTGACCACAGAGCCATACACAACAACAAAAGACAACTACAAGAGATTTAAAATAACTACAAAGACACACAAGAACAGCTACAGAGAGATACAAAACAAATACAACGGTGCACAGAGTGGCTGGAAAGAGATCTGCATAGACCGAGTGTAAAAGACTAAAAATTGCTACAAAATGATCACTCACGAAGACATGCAAAATAACTACAAAAACACAAGTAATAGCTGCACAGATGTGTGAAAAATCCATATGGGATGTATAACTATAAAGTGACCCAAAGTCTAAAAAAAAGTCCACATTGAAAAAAAGTCATGCAAAAGAAGCCAGACAACTAAAAAGAAAATGACCACGATGAGATGCAAAATGCCTTCAGAGAGAAACAAAGTGACCGTGTGGTCTATGACCGTGATTCACTCTCATCCATCTGTGTTAGCAAAAACTTAGGTTTTTTTGTTTCTTGAATGACTCTCAGTACTTTTACTGTTGTATTTTGTATAAATCCTAGTTTAAAACTTTGTCAGGAGTCCGTTGACAGGTGATAACTATCAAGTTTTATTTACGAATATTTAGACAAAGACATAAACATGTTTCCGGACTCACATATTAATGCCCTCAAGAGGGAAGTCATTATTTCTCCTCGGGCTCATTTTACTTCCTACAAAGATCATTTTGGGCATTTGAAGCCTTCCTTGTTCTACTTCCTGTCTCTTGTCAGCAGCAACCAGGCGCCCGAATGGACGGGAAGCTCTTTAAAAAAGGAGGAAACAAAGGACCATTAAATGATCTATAAACTCTGTAAGTGGAGACTTTTTGATTACTTACATGCTGATATGCAGGTTTATTTCTAGAACACCCTGTCACACACAGAGGTTATTCAAAGTGCTTCACATTAAACATAGCAAACATCGAGACCAAGTGCAAAAGGAACACAGAGCAATATGAAAAAGATGTTTCAACACAATTTAGGTCTTTTGGGATCTTTTGGACCCCAGGCCATTTGGTTGAGGTGACAGATATTGTTTGTTTTTTTTAGTTTGAAAGATTTTTTTTTTTTTTTAAATATAAAAAGAGAGACATTTGTCATGCGTTTGGAACCAAAAACATGTCAATTAATCAGAAAATGTATTTAACACAGTATAAAAGTCTATAATGAATATTAACAAATATTTCGCAAATATTCTTTCTTGGGGTCCAATGGGTCCTGAAAGATCTTCTCCGTATGGCAACATGAAAGTCCTGAACAGGGTTAAAAGAGTTAAATAGGGAATAAAATGACATAAAAGCAGGAAAATAAGAGTTACAGTAAAAGTTACACAGCAACTTAAGATATTCAGAAGCCTCAGATTTATCTCAATGGAAGACGGAGGCAAACAGAAAAGTCTTAAGGCTCCATTTAGATTAAGTGTGGCAGCAGACCTGCAGTTTTCTGGGAGTTTATGGTAGAGCATCGAAAATGAAAGCTGCCACTCCATGTTTGACTTAGTGGACAAAAAAGTAGACCTTTTCCAGACAACCTTTTTCAAAATGAAGCAGCAGATCAGAAATGTATTTTGGTTCTAAATCATTCAGTGCTTCAGAAACCAACAGCTGTAAAAATTAATTACCTGCCAGTGTAAAGACCTCAGAACTGACATGATGTGATCTACTTTTCTGGTCTCAGAGAGGACACGAACTGCAGCATTCTGAATAAACTTTTAGAGAGACCTGTGAAGACACTGTTACAATCAAGTCGACTAAAGAAAAATGCATTCCCAAGTTTGATCAAGTCCTGCTAAGACAAAACTAACTT